TTTTTTTCTGACTCTATCTTTCTCAAAAAAATTTTTGCTTCTACTTAAAAATTTTTTAAAATCGAAAATTTTTGATTTAATAGCCAGTTACTATTTTTTGTTAAATAAATGTCACCCATATTTTTCGTTAAAAATACCCAACTTTCAAAAAAAATTTTGTCTTTTCAAAATTTTATTTTTAATTTAAAAAATTAAAATATTTAAAGAATTGGTCGGTCAAAAAATAATAATTCCAAATTTGCCCTGGACGGCTACTCAAGATCCTAATGAACAAATTCCGCTTGACAGGAATGTACCTGAACCTAATCCACTTCCTTTAAATAACAATGTTACTATATTTACTTTTCTTGGTGTCCCGTATGCAGAGCCTCCTTTGGGTGAAAGGCGATTTAAGGTAAAAATAAAATAAATACTACTATTAAATTAATTTAGGTCAATCAGAATTCTGATTTTATATAAAATTCTGGCTATTATGTAGGTATATTCTTGTTCCCCTGTATTCTGATTTTTATAAGAAGATTCTGATTTTTTCAAAAAAATTCTGATTTTTTTTTAAAAAATTCTGATTTTTTAAAACAAATTCTGATCTTTAAGACCACAATACAATTCTGATTTCTTAAAATTCTGATTTCTAAAAATTTTGATTTTGAGACCAGAACACGATTCCGATTCTAAAAATTCTGATTTTTGAGACCAGAACACGATTCCGATTCTAAAAATTCTGATTTAAAAAATTCTGGTTTACACAACTATAAGATAATTCTGATTTATATTCCTTTTTTAAACCATAATTCTGATTTTTAAATTCATCATTTTACTCTCAAAAAAAGCAATTCTGATCTTCCAAAAAAAATTTTTTTTTAATTCTCCTCAAAATTTAAGGCACCTCAACAACTCATTCGTTCGTTCTTTCACCAATTTTTATTTAAACAATTTAAAAAAAGATTTGCCGGGTGATTCCCCCTTTGTTGCTTTTACATTACCCCCAGTGTGTGCACAAGATGTGGAGACTAGACCAACATTATTTGTTAATTCTCCATATCCTTATCAATCAAGTGAAGATTGCTTATATTTAAATATATATACTCCTGCTTTGGTTGGTTTTTTTTAAAAATAAATTCTGATTTTAATTAAAATTCTGTTTTATAAAAATTAAATTCTGATTTAAAAATTCTGATTTGTAAAGACTAAATTCTGGTTTTTAAAAAATTCTGATTTTTAAAAATTCTGATTTTTAAAATTACAAATTCTGATTTAGATTCTGATTTGTAAAAATTAAATTCTGATTTTTAAAATTACAAATTCTGATTTTAATTAAAATTCTTATTTCTAAAAATTAAATTCTGATTTTCAAAGAATACAAATTCTGATTTTTCTAAAACTCGATAAAATTACAATTTGTAAAACAAGTTTTAAACAATTGTAAAAACAAGTTGTAAAACTTTATTAATTTATATATCAGAATAAAATATCAGAATTTTAAAATAAACTTGACAATTGCAATAAATAATTACAATTCTGATTTCTTAAAAATACAAATTCTGATTTTTCAAAATTTTTTCAGAAATTCTCCTCCACAGCAGAAAATGCTTTACCCACCATAGTTTTCTTTCATGGTGGGAACTTTCAGACAGGATCAGCTAATGGTTTTAAAAATTCTGATTTTTAAAAATAAATTCTGATTTTTTGTTAAGATTGGCCTGGTCATGTTTTAGCTTCTCGCGGGATTGTTGTAGTTAATGTTAATTATAGATTGGGGCCTTTCGGTTTTTTAATTTAAAAAATTCTGGAAAAAATTTTATTTAAAGGTTTTATGAGTTTGGGGGATGAAAGAGGTAATTATGGACTTCAAGATCAACGGGCAGCTTTAAATTGGGTTAGACAACACATTTATGGTTTTGGAGGTGATCCTAATGCTGTTACTATAGGTGTGTGTTTTATTGAGGAATATTTTTCAAAAGAAAATTTTATTCTGATTTTTAAGTCAGAATAATCAGAAAATAATTCTGAAAATAATTCTGATTTTTTGAAAATAATTCTGATTTAAACCAGAATCAGAAAAAAATTTTTTCTGAAAATAATTCTGATTTTTTAAAGTTGGACACGATTCTGGTGCTGTAAGCGCCGGTATTCACATGCTAAGTCCTTTGTCTAGAAGTAAAATTAAATTTAAATAAAGTTAAAAAAATATTTATTTTTTGGATTTATTCCGTAGTGTTGTAGCAATGTCTGGGGCAGAAGTTTCCTACCATTCTACTATTGGAAAGCCTGCATTGGGCAAGTTCTGTTTAATTTTAATTATCAGAATATGTGTTTTACTTTGTTTAATATTCCTGTGTTTTTTCTTAATATTCCTTTTGTTTTTTTTGTTTTTCGTAAGCAAATCAGAATTCTGATTTTTGTATTTTCTTAAAAATTCTGATTTTTGTGTTTTATAATAATTCTGATTTTGTATTTTATAATAATTCTGATTTTTGTGTTTTCTCAAAAATTCTGATTTTTGTGTTTTCTCAAAAATTCTGATTTTTGTGTTTTCTCAAAAATTCTGATTTTTGCATTTTCTCAAAAATTCTGATTTTTGTGTTTTCTCAAAAATTTTGCTTTGTGTTTTGTAATAATTCTGATTTTTGTATTTTCTTCATTTATAGCTTTCAACAACACAATAAAACTTGGCCGTTATCTAGGATGTGTTCATCCTGTTGCTAGCGAAGTTTGGAGTTGTATTTTAACTCGCTCAACAGACGATATTGTACAGGCTGTATCTCCTACATCAGTTCCCTCAATTCCTGTATTTTTTAAAAATAAAATACATTTTTTCGAAAATACATTTTTGTATCAGATTGAATTTAACCGTTATTTATTTTTGCCTACTGTTGACGGGAAAGAATTATCCGCCCACCCTTTATGGCTATTAAATAACGTTAAAAATGGATTATCCAACCCTTTTACTGTGCCGTATTTAACTGGATTAAATAAAGAAGATGGAATTGAAGCTATTTTAGAGGATAGGACTTTGGGTAGAAAATTAATTTTTAATTAAAAATTCAAAAAAAAAATCAAAGGTGAATTCACCGATTTCCTTCAAATTACCCACTTATACATGAGGAGTTGGATAACTGAATATGCCTTTAGACACAATTACACAATGAATAGAGAGGTACTTGTATTTTTGTATTTTCCCTTTGTATTTTAAGTTAGACAAAAATTCTGATTATTTATTTTAAATCAGAATTTCGAAAAAAACATCCAAACTTTGTTTTTAAACATAAATTCTGGTTTTTATTTAATTCAGAATTTAAATAAACTTGCTTTAAAAATACAAAAATTCTGAAAAAATACAAACTTTGTTTTTAACTTTAATAATTCTGATTTTAAATATCAGAATTTCATTAAAACAAACACTTAACAATAAAAACAAATCAGAATTTAGTAAAAACACAAAACAAATAAACCAGAATTTAATTAAAACACGAATCAGAATTTAATTAAAACAAATCAGAATTTCAAATGAACTTTGAAAACACAGAAATTCTGGAATACAAAAATACATTCAGTCCCCCCGCAATCATAAAAAACACAAAATCCCACTCTATACTCAATTTTAATTAAATTCAAGGCAATAATTGAAGCAATAGAATCTTTTTATACTTATTGGCCAGATCCATCAGATGTTTGGAATATTAGGCAACGTTTTATTGAATTAATTACCGATACCTTCTATGTCCAACCAATTTCTCAATCAGCCCATTTACACTCCGAAAGTGGCTCGAGAACTTGGATGTATGTTAATTCTTACAATTTTTCTGCTCAGAGAGAAGCTTTGGGGGTGTTACCTTCACCTTTATTTCCTTCTTGGACTGGTATAGAATGAAGAAAAAATTTCAAAAAAAAATTTTTTAAATTAAAAGGAAGTTGCCATGAGTGTGACTTGTACCTTTTATTTGGCTTCCCTTTTATGCCCCAACATTTACTTCCCACACAACTTGCTTCTGTTGAATGGTTACAAGTTGATAGAAATGCTAGTCAATTGTTTTCTTCTTTTATTCGACAATTTGTTAAATACTCGTTCGTTTTTTAATTAAATTTAAAAATGAGAGGAAGGAGGGTAGGAGGACGTCTTTTGGGCAGAGAATGTCTCCGTCCTGGGCCGTATTTTTGGTCATATCTTTTTTCAAACTTGACCGATTTAGGTAATTTTTGTATCAATCAAAAGCTCTGAATGTGTAGATTATTTTAGCTAACAGGAATGATCTGATCGGATCTTCTTACAAAAAGTTACATTTGATTAAGTGGTCGCAATCGTGATTTTTGAGCTTTATTTGGCTATAACTTGAAGTAGAATGATCTGATCAAATCAATCCTGGTAGGTAAAATAATCCGCATATTCAGAGCTTTTGATTGATACAATAATTACCTAAATCGGTTAGGAATCAAAAAAGTTATGGACCAAAATATGACTTTGGGGCTGAACCGCAAACCTCTACCCTGAGAAAAATTGTTAAGGATTTTGGGCAATTCTTAAGGCAAAAAAATTTTTTTTTATTTTTTTAGAGATCCAAATTTGCCATTAGATGGAAGTTGGTTAGCCCATCAACCTAGAGCTCATTGGTTTCTTCAATTTAATTATTCTAGTGGCCAAAGTCTTCATTCCCCAGGCATTTTAAAAAAAGATTATCGTTTTGAAGAAGTTGCTTTTTGGAATAATTACTTGCCTGCTGTAAATATATTTTTTATATTTATTTAAAAAATATTTTTCTAAGAACCTTAAAGGGGTGAGGTTCTAGAACCCCCACCCGAAATGGGGAAAAGGAAAAAATTTGGGGAGGAATTGAGCAAAAAGGTGAAAATTTTTTTTCGCCCACTGCGCTTAAAATCAAAATTTTCCCCCCTTGCTCCCCCCCCCCCTCGAAAAAAATCCTGGTTACGGGACTGCCAAGTAAGGTTGTTCCCCATCCCCGAAATCGGGGAATTTGAGAGATTTTTTTCCCGAAATTTCCCCGTAAAAAATTTTCCCCCGTCCCCGTCCCCCCCCCCCGTGGCGCTGAAAATTTTCCCCGTGCCCCCCCCCCGTGGGAAACAACCCTACTGCCAACTAGAGATATCTTAAAGAGTTTAGACCTTCATAAAACTTCACTATAAAAAATGAAAAAAATAATTTTTTACTCAATAGCTAGTCAATTATATGACAACAACATTTCCACCAGAAGAGGGAAGTGTTCGGAATGAATTAACCTTATTTAAAGGATTGTTTGGAATTTGTTTAATTTTTGGGATTATTTTAATTGTAATTACACTGTCATTAGGTTATAATGTTTGTACGAGAGATTTACAAATTATTGAGGAAAATAGTAAATCTAAAGAAAATTGGAGGAATACAAGAAGACTGACTTCGCCTCCTTTTATTGAAAGAAGAGAAGAATTTGAACGAGTTTCCAATTTTTAGAATTTTTTTAAATTTATTTTTTAATTTATTTATGCCTCATTTTCTTTTTATTTAAAATAAAATATTTTAAAAGAATGTCCAAAAACAGGGATGGATTAGGGGGGTGTTTAAAAATAAAAACAGAGTTCAAAGTAGAGATCGGACTTTTAGTGGTCGTTCAATAATATCAGTATCGGGGAGCAGGTCAATGTACCACGAGCCCAATGTATCGCAAAGCTAAAACTTCGTTAAAAATAGTCGTATCCGGCACGCCTTGGTGTGGTTCGATGCATCTCGACGAGCTGAATTGAACCATATCAGGGCGTTCCAGATTCGACCATTTTGAACGAAGTTATAACTTTGCGGTACGTCGGCCTCGCGGTACGTTGGTAAAAATATCGTTCGATAATATAACGATATTTTCCATCGATATATCGTATAGATCTGGTCTCTATTTCAAAACGGGTCTAGAATTTTTCCAAAAAATAAAACAGAGTTCAGAGCGAATTAAAAAATTTTTTCTTTAAATCGGGTTCGAGTTGGAAAAGTCCGGAGATTTCAAACATAATCCCCCATCCCTGGCTCCCAAAACTTTGGGGAAATGATGGAACTCGAATTAGAATATCTGTAGTAAACATAACTGTTTTAAATGGTTTTTAAATTTTTTATTTCCTCTTTTTAAAATCTGTCTTTAATTTGGTATATAATTCGAGTTTCCCCCATTGCTTCCATTAATAAATATGTATATAATAAGACTATTCATGACCGATTTTATTTTAAAAAAATTTCAGCAGAAAAATTATGTATTTGGACCAAAAATATAGGAGTTTGGAATTTGGAGTAATCGAAAAACTTAAATAAATTTCTCAGCGGTCGTGAAAAATCGTTTAACGGGCAATAAAAAGCTTTAAAAAATGCTTAAAAAATTTTTTTGTGTCAAAAATAAATTAAATATTTAAATATAACCTCCATAAAACATCTCCACATTTTCCTCTTTAAAAATCTTCTCTCCTATCAACCTTCAGTCTTTCCTCCAAATTTAGATTTAATAGCCGCTTCCTTAGCCTCATCAAACACTTTATTGTCAATATAAGAGTTGCACGGATAACACCAAACAGAAAAGTCAGCAAAGCTTAGAGCCAGTGGATGTTTTGTCTCTTCGGTGTGACCCAAAGCGTGTCCCTCAACATAACGAGAGCAATAGACCTTTTAAAAGATTAAATTTATTAAATGAAGAAAATAAAAAGAAAATATTGGTCAAATCAACAAAAAAAAAGCAAAATTTATTTTTGCGGACAAAATTTGCGGACAAAAATAATTTTGCAGAAAACTAGCCTCCAAGTGAGAGAGCCTCTCTTAAGTGCCTAAGCTAACTTAAAAAAATAAAAATTTTAAAAATAAACCTCAAAACATTTAAGACACACCCAATTCTCGCCAGTATTAGAACACTTGTTGCAAGCAGCTTTAGTGTTGAGTCCATCAGAAGGCAATTTGCTATCCTATAAATTTAAAATTAATGGTAAAAATCGTTATTTTGAAGAATCCCAGAGTTGTTCTTAAAGTCGGGCCTAGCTATAAGCTACCATTGAATCGAATACTTCACTCAGTTTAAGACACATTTAAATAATGCCAGTCAGTGGAGGGCGCTTTGATCGATACAAACAATTCAAGAAACGTCCCGAAACGAATTTTCAGTCGCTATTGGGTATCCTAAAGTGGGTGACTTATCTAAAGTAAGTGGATACCCTCAAAAATCCCCTAACCAAAATTTCAAAAATACCGCAATTTGTCCCAAATGTGGACACGTCTTAAGTGGCGTCACCGCAAAGAATTCTTGTGGCTTCTCTTCCTGTTCACTGTCAGAGGCAATCTTGATTAATTGTTCAGTTGTCATTTTTTAAATTTTATTTGGAGATTGGAAATAAAGAACTGAAAAAAAATAAAATTTTATAGCAGAAATTAATAAAAAAAATTGATGACAATTTATCCCAAAAAATTTTTTATAGAAGACCCGTTGATATATCTAAAATGTTGAAGGTCACACCTACAGCCCTACAAAAACAAAAGTCAAAAAACAAAAAGTAAATTCAACAGAACGCTTTCCTAAAAAATAATTTTAGAATTTGAGACTCAACTGACACATTAAACACAACGCCAAAAAATTATTCTAACGCCAAAAAGACTTTTTCTTTTGAATATTTATTCGCCTTTTAGTTTTTTTATTTCTTGCTAGAAATTTATAAAAGAAAATGCTCAAATATCGTTATTTGTCTCGTTCCATTCGTTTATGTTCTTCAATTGCTGGAACTACTGCAACAACAATAACACCACCAAAAAATCCCCCAATTTTGACTTATCCTAGCGAAGAATTTATCAAAAAATTTCCAAAGCAACGAATATCTGATTTAATTGCTGAAATTGAGGTTTCCTTTTAATTCAAAAATTAATTTTTTATTTTAATTTTTAAAGATTTTCTATAAATTCTCTCAACATTTACCAACCCATCTAACTGATGATAATTGGCAAAAATTGATGGATGCTACCAGTTTGGAGGAAAAGGAAGAATTTTTGTTTCATCTTTCGAATAATGAAGTGGTTATAAAGGTTCGAATAAAGATTTTTGGTGATTTTTAAGAGAGGAGGAAGTCTGGGTTTAGGGAAGTAATGTTTCCAATCGTCTTTTTTGCAGGACAAATTTTTTCTATGGGAGCAAACAAGGAATAAGCATGTATTTTTGCTGAAAAATATTTGCGGAAATTCTTGCGGACTTTTTTTTTGCGATTTTTTTGTTGATATTTTTTTTGTTGATATTGTAGACTTGAAAAGTTATGAAATGAGTGTTTAATAGCGAAAAAATAGAAAAATTTTATCCTCAAACTTCTGTCTTGATTAGGGTTGGTGTTTTCAAGTCGGGCCGGCCTGACCGAGTCTTTTTCGGGCCAAAATTCAATGCCCGACGGGATCTTTCGGATCGGGCCCCCAACCCTAGTTTTGATCAATTCAATAATTTATTGAACTAAAAGAAAGTCCCTAAAATTATATTTTTTAATAAAGTTCCCCCCTCTTCTTTTTTGCTGATTTTTACATTTTTTTAAATTTAACAATAAGTCTTTTTTAATTCAGCAGGGTGAGCAAAAAATGACTGAAATTCGAAATAATTATTATGAGGTTTATTTTAATTTTTCTCTTTTTTACAATAATTTTCAAAGGATTTAAAAATTAAAAATCAACTTTTTGAAAATGGGTCGATGGTTTATGGTAGTGAATTTTACAGGCTATTTGGTGATGAATATTTTCATGCTAGAAAATTTATTGGTATTTTTTTTTAATTTTTTAAAATAAATTTTTGGTTGTTTTGAGGGGTTTTTAAAAATTTGCGTCAATTTCCCGTACTTGCGAACAAATTTTGCGGACTTTTCTTCCTATTCCATTTGGTCTGGCCTTTCAATTAAATCAAAAAAGACCTAATATAAAAGTATATCCTCCTATTTTAATCCTTTTTGCCTACGAAAAAGTCAGGCAAGCAAAGTGCAAACCAATAGAAATTTGGGGAGTGTCCGCAAAAATTTTCCGCAACAAAAATTTTTTGCAAATTTAGATAAAGTTTCTCTTATTTATGGATCTCGTTGTTGCCAGAATGCTTCTTTAAATGAATTTATTCCTAAAATTATTATTGACTGTAGAAAAGTTTACCAATTACATGTTAAATTTTTGAACACTGCAATTGCGTTTGTCTTTTTTAAATTAAACAAAAATTTTTTGTCCGCAGCTTTTTTGCTGATATTTATTAGTTATTTTTGTCTGGATATTTCTTTTCTTTTTTTAAAAAATCATTTAAAAATCGAATTTTTAATTTAAAATTTTTTTTTGAAAATTCTGAATATATTTAGTTTAGGAGGCCTCTTTTTATTAAAAATCCGCAAGTTTTGTCCGCAACTTTTTTGCTTAAACGAATTTTTTTAATTAAGTTTTTACATTAAAATTCTTACAATTTTTTGTTTTTTTCATTTTTGAATTAACCAACTAATATTAACAATTTTTATTAAATTTGGTTCATCTAAAATTTTTGCGGACAAAACTTGCGGAGATTTTTTGCAGAAACTTATTTTTATTTTTTAAACCTGAAAATTTTTAATTTTCGGATATTTTTTGTAAAAATTTTTAAAAAAATTTTTTTCTTCACTAAATTTCAAAATTTTATTTTTCTATATTTTTTAGTCGAATCCAACAAGTGCACGATTACAATATGTTAAGTGATTATCCAATGCCTATTTCTATTGTTAATTTTTTTTCGAGTGAATCTGTTGGATATGCTTTAAAAAAGTTTTCTTTTTTAAATTAAAATTAAAAAAATTTTATTTTTTAAAAAGACATTTACACTTTTTATTTGGACCCCCAACAATGCTAAATAAATATGAATTGGATATTCCTCCAGAAATTATTAATGCAAATTTATATTCAAAATTGAATGATTTTTTGGATAGAGAGGAGGGAGAAGAGAGGAGTGGGGAGGTTTGTTGAGCAAAAAAAAAAATTTTTTTTAATTTATTTTTGTTCATAAATTTTGTCCACATAAAATTTTTTTGTTTTTGCCATCCGCAAATTTTGTCCGCAAAATTTGTCCGCAAATTTTTAATTTTTTAAATTTATAAAAAAACTTTTTTAATTTAATTTTTAGACAAATTCTAATGTTAAAGAAAATATTTATAAATATGAACCTCATCCTTTTATACCGGAAATTACTACAAAAAATATTTTGGATGTTTGTAAAAGAGATGGAATTAAAAAAGGTTTTAATTTTTATAAAAATATTTGTGGTAAAAGTTTCGAAATTTAATTAAGTCGGTGTTGGTGTAGTTGGTTAGTGCTTGAATTTTATTATGGTGGGTTGAGGGTTCGATCCCAATTGGTTTTAAGACAGGGCTCGGATTCGTACTTTTTTAAAAGTATTGTACTTTTTTATCGACCTCCATACTTAAGAAATTGAATTTGTACTTTTTTGAAAGTATGTACTTTTTTATCAACATTTTTGAAAAAACGAAGAAATCTGGCTTAAGGACCTCCAAAATTCTCAAAATTTTCGCCTGCGGCGCAAAAAATGGAAGAAATCTGGCTTAAGGACCTCCAAAATTCTCAAAATTTTCGCCTGCGGCGCAAAAAATGGAAGAAATCTGGCTTCTTGGTCTCGTAAATTCACAAAATTTTTGCCTGCGGCGCTGAAAACGGGAGGAAATTGGAGATTTTAATAAAGATAAGGCGGAGGGATATTAGTATATAGTGGAATTATACCAAGATATCCCTCTTAGTCCCCAAATCCCGCAATTTCTTTTTAATCTCTTCAAATTTGCCTCTCTCTATATCACCCAAATGACCAGAAAATAACAAGAATTTTTCGCTTAACTCGAAACCCGTACCCGAAATTTTTGGAGCGTACTTTTTATTAGCAAATTTTCTCCCTATGTACTTTTTTTACAAGATTTTGATACTTTTGAGTGGCATTTTGTCGATCCGAGCCCTGTTTTAAGATGATGTTTTTCTGTTGCACAAATAAAATTTTTGTAAAAAATTTTATTTTTAGGCCTTGAGAATTTCTGTGAGAATTTTTCAAAATTCCGTGGGAATTTTTAGAATTTTTTAAAAAATTTTTGGTGAAATTAAAAAAAATACAATTTTTCTTAAATTAATTTTCAGAAGAAATTGCCTATATAAGCAGCAGTGCAACACAATATTTGCCTGATGATCCTCAAATTATTAAAGAAAGATTTAAGGCTTTTGTATTATCACCTTTAGAAGATAGACACAATCCAAGACAACGGCCAAAGTAATTGTGCCTTTAAGTTTTTATTAGAGATCGGCCGAAGAGGTCGGTCGATATTTTTCGATAAATATCGAAGAATATCGAAAAATATCGAAAAAATCAAAATTTTCTCGGTCGATATTTTTTCGATAAATATCGAAAAATATCGAAACCGAAAAATATCGAAAAAAAAGTCTCGATATTTTTCGATTTTTCAAAAATTTTTCTATAACCAATGAATAACAGAATAGACCTAGTAGTCTAATGAGATTAAGATTGATTAAATGGGATATTGGTGGATTTGGAAGTATTAAATGTAATATCAATGGACTTGTATTTGATATCAAAGGATCAAGTGGGATATAAGTGGATTTTAACCAGGGATAATGGATTTTAAGGAATTAAGGGGGATATTGAAGGGCTGATTGTGTATCGAGAAATTTAGAGGTAGTAAGTGTGATATTGTGGATTTATGAGATAAGGAGGGATATCAAGGGATTTGTGTATTAAGAGGGATATCGGGGGATAACGATATATCAGAGGATAAAAAATCTTGGATTTAATATCCGTTTTGATATCTAGCTCTCCCAAGTCGTCTTGATCCCTCGAGATCCATTTTATCCACTTAATCCTTTGTTAGTTATATAATATTTCCATTTTCGGATCAATAGTGGATGAAGGGGGATATCGGGGGATTCACTGGGATTAAGTTGGATTCGAAAAATATCCAACCAGGCTTTACTAGTTCCGTAGTTCTAGTTCTGGAACTAGAACTAATTAGTTCCGGAACTGGAACTGGAACTTTGACATCACTGTATATTATCACACTCTCGTCTCGCTTTGGCAAACTAAATCGTGAATATAGAAGAAACCTTCCTCCTTTCTTGCGCCGCAGGCGAAAATTTTTTGAATTTCTGATGAGCAAGAAGCAAAAATGCATCCTTTTTGGCGCCAAAAATCCAAATTTTTGTCAAAAATGACGTTCGATATTTTTTCGATTTTTTGTAATTTGGTCGGTCGATTGTTTCGATTTTTAAATTTTGTCGGTCGATATTTTTCGATAAATATCGAAAAAATATCGAATACCGAAAAATATCGAAAAAGTCAAAATTTTGTCGGTCGATATTTTTTCGATAATATCGAAAAAAAATATCGAAAAATATCGATAATTATCGATGAAAAATCGTATCGAGCCGATCTCTAGTTTTTATTTTTTATTAAAGTTGTGGTGTAGTTGGATAATTGTTAGTTTTGGTGTCTAGCAGGTAGGGAAAGGTAGTTAAGGTTCGAATCCATCAGTCTCAAAAAATTTTTTTTGGGTTTTTATTTATGTTTTTAGTTTAAAAATATTTTTAGGGATATTTTATCCGCAAAATAATTTATTCTGTCCGCAAAAAAATTTTTGTCCGCAAAAAATTTTTTTGTCCGCAAAAATTTTTTTGTCCGCAAATTTTTAATTTTTTTCTTTTAAAGTTTTTATGCTCCACATGATCAAATTCAAGTTTACAGACTTCCTTTAGAAAAATATTTGGGGTAATTTTTTTTATTTTAAATTTTACTTAAATAAATTTTTAAAAGTTTCCGTCCACCAACATTTATGCCTCCTTCAACTTTTATTGAATTATTGAGAGTTATAATTTCTGGACGTAGTTCAAGTTGGGATTGGGCTATAGATAATAGAGTGCCTAATTTGAGAATACAGGTTTTTTTTTAAATTTTTTTGTTAGAAGAAATTTTGAGAGGATGAGGAATCCGCAAAAAATCTTTTGTCCGCAAATTGTGTCCGCAAAAAATTTTTTTGTCCGCAAAAAAAAATTTTTTTCTAAATTGCAAAAAATTTTATTTATTATTAATTTTTACAAAAATTTTTAAAGGATTTGTATGCTCTCCCAAGTCCCTGGAAAAATTCAACAGAAAATAGCCCTGAAAATTTTGCAAAAATAAAAGCAAGGAGAACAGACAATTTAAATGTAAGAAAAAAATTTTTCTAATTTTGAAAAAAAAATTTTAATTAAAAAAATTTTTTTTCTCAAGTTAGTCAAAGAAGCATTAATTAATTTAAATTTACAAAAAAATAATTTAATTAAAAAGAGTCAATCACAACAAGTAAAAAATCAAAGAAATCAGTATTACCAACAAAAACAACAAGGAAGAGACAATGATACTGGTAGTAATAAATTAATTACTCAAGCTATGACAAATAAAATAATAAGGAAAAGAAGATATTCTCGTGAGGTAAATACTATTCAATATTTTATCTGTGAGAAATTTTTTGTCCGCAAGTTTTGTCTGCAAAAAAGTTTAATTTTTTTCTTTATCTTTATCCGCAAGAAATTTTTTGTCCGCAAGTTTTGTCCGCAAAAAATTTTTTTGTCCGCAAGTTTTGTCCGCAAAAATCTTTTGTCCGCAAGTTTTTAAAATGAGTGTCAAATTGTGGTATGATGAGGTTTTTTATTAAAAATCGGACTGATACTGATATGTCGGTCATAAAGATATCATTCATCAATATTATCAATATCGACTGAATTTCAATTCCCTGTGTTTTTGTCTAGTCCGCAAAATTATAATTTTTAAATTTTTGTTTTTATTTTTTTAATTTTTAGGAGCGAAATTGGAGAAGGCAAGAAGGATTAGAAACTATTAAAAATTAAATTTTTATTTTCTAAAAAATTTTGGAAATTTTTTCAAATTAAAAAAAAATTTAATTTTCTGTTGATTTTCTGATTGTTGTGAATTTATGGTTAAGTGGGTAAATTCTTGATTTTCTGAGGTGAAGTCAGAAAGGTTCGAATCCAGCTAGATGCTAAACATTTGTTTTTCAAAATTTAATAAAAATTTATAAAATTTAATTTTTATTCTATCAAAAATAATTTATACATTTGTCAAAAATTGTGAAAAAGAATTTTTTTCAAAAATTAATTGAAATATGAAAAGTCAAAAATTAGGGAAGGATATTTAAAAATGATTTTTAACCTAAAAAATCACAAGAGAAATATAAATTAAATTTAAGAGGGAAATTAAAATAGAATCGAAACCTCACTGTAAAATACCCCTAATAATACCTACACCTCTATTTAGGAGACGTTCTTTGTTGAGACAATACCTCTATATAACAAACATTCTATATAAGCGATACCCTCTATATAATAAACACCTCATTATAAGGTAAAAAAAATTTTTTTCTGCCCTGAGGGGATATTTTATAATGGGTTTCGACTATTTTATAAATGTGGGGTGTCTATAAATTTTCTTTTATAATTACAACAATGGCACCATTAAAATAAAATTGAATTCAAATGAGGGAAGAGAGTTTGTGAACATGTTTTATTAAATACTAGGGGGGTTAACCTTCTCCTTAAGATGTCCTAATAATTTTTTTTTTTAAATAAGGGAGAGTCTTTATGAGAGACCGAGATTTGTGTTTTTAAAATTTTTCAAAATTTCCAAGTTTTCGATCTCGAAGTCTCTTTCAAGTCCAGTCTCAGTCTCTAGTACAGTCGGACCTCTAATTTAATTTTTAGCTACAAAATTTAAATACGGTTCGATTTCACTCTATCCTCCTAGCCTACCTTCACTTTCAAATTATACCCTTTTGAATACAACAATTTTTTAACCCCACCTAAAGAAGTACCTATTTTTATAATGAGAGGCCCGACTGTACTTTAATGAAAATAAATGATAGAAATATTTACCTATATATTTTGGCAAGAAAATACAAATTATTTGGCAAGTCAAAAAAATTTTTTTATAAAAGGAAAAGTCTCTACAAAATTTTCACCAAATCCCACTATTCGTAGCTTTATCATTTTTAAGCAAAAAATTCCCAACATCTGTAGTTGTTATTGGACAAATATTTGTTGTTGTTAATTGTGGATTTACAACACAATTTGGAGTTGGGAAAAATGCTGTCTAAGAAAAAAAATTTTTAAAAAATTCTGAAAACTTTTTTAAAAATTTCTGAAATTTTTTTTTCGAAAATTCTGATTTTTTTTCAAAAAATTCCCCCCTCCTTACTTGCCCAGTAGCAGAAGAAAGCGCAGCTGTTGCAAACTGTTGAAAGGCAGAGGGAGAATGGTGGTGATAATGATGATGAATATTAATTGAATTTGAACAGAAAAGTTGTGGAGGTTGTTGTTGTTGATTATCAGAAAATGGAACAATTGAAGGTTGTGAATCTATTAATGTATTTATTCCGTCAGAATTGTTGCTAATATTGTGGGCATCTTTAATTAATAGAGGTGGGGTGTTTCCAGAAGTGATATGTCCAAGCTAAAATGTAAAAGAAAAAATACATTAGAAAATACAAATCAGAATTTTAGTAAAACACAAAACATTCTAATTAAAAATACAAAACAGAATTTAATAAAAACAAACAAATCAGAATTTAATTACAACAAACAAAAAAACAACACATAATTTAATTCAAATTAAAAATCAGAATTTGAATAAAACAAACAAGTTTACTAAAAAACAAATCAGAATTTTAGTTGTTAATAATCAGAATTTCAGTTAAACACTAAAATTTAATTAAAACAAAAACCAGAATTTAATTAAAACAAAAACCAGAATTTAATTAAAACAAAATCAGAATTTAATTAAAACAAAATCAGAATCTCATTAAAACAAAAACCAGAATTTAATTAAAACATAATCAGAATTTAATTAAAACAAAATCAGAATTTCAATAAAACAAATCAGAATCTCAGTTAAAACACAAATCAGAATTTAATTAAAAACATAAAACAAAACACTCACATTATTATTAGAAAATTCTGATTCTGATTGCTCGCATTTAGGTTCTAATATTCCATTTTCAGTTACTTGTTGTTGTTTATATTCTTCAATATTATTTAAAGACATTGCTGCTAATTTTTTTGATTTACTTCCTAATTTTCTATTTCTTGACTGTATTTGATCTTTTTTCATATTTATAGGTCGGTGTTGCTTAAAAATATTTTTTAAATTTTTTTTAATTAAAATTTTCTTACATTGTGTAATTTATAATAAAGTCCACAAGCATTACAAACAGGCTCTTGACGAACATTCCGTCGCCAAAGTGTTGTTTGCTCTGTCCTACAGTTTGAGCAGATAATTCCTGTCCTTTTCTGGGTTGTCTAAAATAAAGTTTATTTTAAATCAGAATTTTTATTTTAAAAATCAGAATTTTAGAAAAACATGTTTTAATTAAAATCAGAATATTATAAAAACTTGTTTAATTAAAATCAGAATTTCAGAAAAACGTGTTTTAGTTAAAATCAGAATTTTAGAAAAACAACATGTTTTTAATTTATTCTGTTTGTTTAGTTAAAAAACAGAAATCAGAATATTTGTTTTTATTAAAAACAAACAACTTTATAAAACATTAAAATCAGAATTTTGTGAAAACACAAATTAAAAAAAATCAGAATTTTAGAAAAACCAGTGTTTTTGTTAAAACACAAATACCAGAATATTTATTTATTAAAAACACAACTTTATAAAATCAGAATTTCGAGAAAACACAAATTAAAACGAATCAGAATTTTAATTTGTGTTTTATTTTTAGGCAAAAATGTATTTTATTTAATTTTTGTATTTTTTATTCTTTAACTGTATTTTTTCAAAAACACAAATTTATTATTTATTCTCCTTTGTTTTAAACGCTTTTACCGCCTATATTTTTATTTATATTTATCAGATCACAGAAAAATTGTTTTTTTTTGTTGTTGGTGGTGTGTCCTTTAAAAGACTTGATGATCAAAATCTCTAAAAATACCCGCGTTTTCCCACAAAACAATTAACAGAAAAAAAGATCTAAGCCGTCGCTTTTTCCTCTTTAAGTCATCACTCATCCCCCCTCCTCCCCCTCTTCAAAAAACTTTTTTTCTTGTCCAAAACTTCCGTAATTTTTTTGTTTATACCGACAAATATTATAATATAGTATAATAATATACCCAAAAAATTTATTTTTGCCCTTCCCAAAATACCCAACAATTGTCTATAACGTGTCACGACACTTGCAGATATGACATTTGCAGACCCGACACTTGCAGACCCGACTTTTGCAGACCCGACATTTGCAGATCCCGACACTTGCAGATATGACACTTGCAGATCAGACATTTGCAGATCCGACTTTTGCAGATCAGACCCGTTTTCTCGCTTCTTTACCTTACCTATACACCGTGGAGTGTTTGCTGCTTTGGAGGAATCCTGGGATGCCCATCTCATCGATGATAGGAATAGGATCATGTTACGAGCCCAGAGCCCAGCGACCGTTGACTCCCCGCGAGGCGCGTGCCGCAAAACCCCGCGCGAAGCGCGGGGTTTTGCACAAGCGCCTCGCCGACGCTCCATAGGTCTACGTTGAACATGTTGAACCTCATGAAAAAAGAGAATTTCCGGAAAAAAGAGTGGTGCCGTTCGACTCAGCTCGTCGAGACAAATTTGTATGGGTCTTATATCAAAACCTTTCCACCGGTATACTATACTATATCCTTTGATTTTTTAATTTTTTTAAAAAATTAATATCTGCAAAAGTCGGATCTGCAAATGTCTGATCTGCAAGTGTCATATCTGCAAGTGTCGGTATCTGCAAATGTCGATCTGCAAAAGTCGTCTGCAAATGTCGGGTCTGCAAATGTCATATCTGCAAGTGTCGTATGACCGTCTATAAACTGTAGCCAATGAGGCAGAAAATGCTTTCAAGTTTTAAATAAATAACGAGAAATACAAAGTTTAAATAAACTTTTTCTGGTTTTTGTATTTTCGAGAAATTCTGATTTTTGTGTTTTATTAATTTTAAATAATTCTGATTTTAAGTGTTAATGTGTTTTTAAAAATAATTCTGATTTTTATTTATTTTCTGTGTTTTTAAAAATTCTGATTTCACTTAAAATTCTGATCTTAGAAAAATTCTGATTTTTCTTGAAGATTCTGATTTTTTAAGAAATTCTGATTTTTATTTTAAATAATGCTTATTTTTACTTATTTTGACTCTTAAATTTCCTCACCTGCCGTTTCTTAGGCTTCTCAAGCGGCCTATTCTGTCCCCCATTCATTCGTTGATAGAGGCCACAAGCATTACATAAGTGATGCCCATGTGTATGATCACGTCGCCATAAAGGGGTTTGGGTGACTCCACAATTTACACATTGACGATTTTCCATGTCAATATGACCTAAAGAGACTTGGCAGAAAATTAAAAAATCCATGCAAGAAAATAAAAAATAATTTTGAAAGAAGAAACATGCCTAAGCAAAACAGAAACATTTTAAATATCAGAAGCAACTTTTAAAATACTAGAAACATGTTTCCAAAAATCAGAAGCATGCTTCACAAAACCTGAAGCATGCTTCAGAAGCAATATTTGTGAAAATCAGAACATGCTTCATAAAATCAGAAGCATTTTTAAGAAATCAGAAGCATGTTTCAAAAGCATACTTTTTAAAATAAATTCTCAACTCACTCAGTTTTTTAACTTTGTTTGCCGCTTTATAAGGAAGAGGCCGTTTATAATTTTTATGATTATTCCTTGACTGTCCACAATTATTAGAATTAAAATTTTGATGTTGTTGAATTTGAGGTATTGAAATATTGTCTTCTTCTGATGAAGATTCTGATGTTGATGGTTGTTGGATTGAATCGGGGAAGTAGCCTTTGAGGAGAGCACTTTTTGAGGGAAAAATAAAATAGATAAGATTTTGATAAAAATTTTTAAATTTGGAGTAATAAGAATTATGGGGGGTAAACGACACTAATACTGAATTTTCGTTGATTCACTATAAATTCCACCTATATTAAAAATACCATCCCTTGTTTCTGCTTTTACGCGATTTTGTCTAACTATCAGAGGATGAAAAGAAAATTTCATCAAAACACAAAACGAAACACAAAGCGAAACACGAAACAAAAATTTCCGTTTCATCTGCGCTCATTGTTCCCTGGTTTTTACAGTTAATAACTCTCAAAATGAATATTCAAAGGGTCAATCAACAGCTTCAGAGTGACAGATCTATCAATGACTTCTTCTCAAAAGCTTCTCACAAGCTTCCGAAAGGTTTTGGGTGATAACTCGAAACAACTCGAAATTCGAAACTCGAAACTCAAAAAATCCTAGACATATCCCCACATCTTTGTCCTTTTTTAAATTTCCTTACTTTGGTTCAACTACAGCTAAACTAATATTACTATTCCCTCCATCAATTAACAATCCTCCTCCTCCCCCATTATCTCCACCTCCACCATCATTATAATGTAATAAAGGTGTTGCAGAATTATTTAAAAAGGTTTGTTGGAAATTAGCTCCGTAATAAGCTCCATAATTATCACCATTATAATAATTATTTGTTGTAGAAGAGGGAAGATGAGGGGGCAATTGAGGTAGTGTATGGAGGGGATAATTCGAATAAAAATTATTTTGTTGATGATTTGAATGGCTAGAAGAGGTTGTAGTTGATGTATTTGATAGGGTAAAGGACGGGTTGTTGTTTAAGGCATCTATTCCTTGTGATAGTAGTTGACTGCTTAAATCGGGGATACCCATAGATGGGATGTTGTACCACAAGTCTGGAAAGTTTGGAATATTAATATGAGGGAAATGAGGGTTCAAAAAAATTTTTTAAAGAAGTTTTAGTACGGGAGAGGTTCTCACTTAGACAATAGTAGGGGCTGTAGAAAGGTCCTTTCAATGGGAGATGGAGTAGAACCATCATGAAAGGGCTAGAAAGAACATCATGAAAGGGCATCATGAAAAGGCTCCAATCCGAAGATGGGTTGTTTTTATTCATTTATGTTCCATTTATGAAATTACGGACCAGAGCTGGTTAGAGACAGGAAAATCCTCGAAAATGGGAAATCGAAATTCCGAAGCAGCTCTGGTGCGGACACAACACCCTTGGAACTAAAAATGTATGCTCTAGAGTACATCCTATATAAAGGCTCAGAAAATTCCTTCCACCCAATGGTCAACCAACTTTAAAAAGTATTTTAAAATAAGGCGTGTTTATTGTGCACAGCTTCTAATGAATCCCATCTGTCCCAAGTAAATGTCCCATACAAAAATATTTTTAATTAAAATAAAAGTTGCTTTTACGTTGATAATCTGTGTGTAGTTGTTGCTGGGTATAATAAAAATGTTCATAAGCCGTCGGCGTATGCTACAAAAAAAAGATAAAAAAATAAAGATTAAATCTTTTTAACAATATTAATGATCACACAGTGTGTGAACACACCCCCCCCCCCCCTCTCCCCTCTCTCAGAAAAAAAAGTTTTTTTTCATTTTACCTCATCATTTCCAACTGTTTCCCCAATCAGTTCCCTTCCTTTAACTTCATCGTTTGTTGTCATATCTCCCATAATGCTTGTAGCAGTCATTTGCATTGGTGAGTTTATTATGTTAAATTTAAATTCATTGGTCATTCTATTTTTTGAGATTCTTTAAAAAAAATTTTTTTGAGAATTTTAGGAATGGAATTTAGTAATGGATATCAGGGCTGGGCCCAATTGCGGATTATGTAAAATTGGATGTTTTATTGCGGCTGCGGAAAATTTTTTTGAATTGCGCCCATCCCTGATGGATATCCCATACCTCTGGTATCGCATAGAAGACCCCTCAAAAAATTTAGGAATGGGTATAGGCTCACATCCATACCAGAGAAGGGAGAAGGGTTAAGAAAAAAAGTTGAGACGGATTTGATTCGATTTACAAATATTTTTTATGAAGCGGATTTCGGTTAACCCGTCCCCATTCCTGGTCCATACAAAGCCCAAAAACCCTCAAAAAAAATTTTTTTAATTTTCTAAAAAAAATTTTTTAGAAAAATTTTTTTCTAATGCCGCGCGCCAAAAACATCTAAACAACACCAAAAAAATATAAAAATAATTTTAAAAACAATATAAAGAAACCAATGAATATTTTTGAAAGAAGAAGAAGAAAGGAGGAGGAGTTGAAAGGCGACAATTGAGAGAAAGAAGGAATTAATTGGGGTACGGTAAAAAAGAGGAAAATTAAAGAGAGGATAAAAAATAATATTTAAATTTTGAAGGATTTTTGGAGAGGTTTTTGGGAGACTTTTTGAAGATTTTTTGAAGGATAATTAAATAAAAATAAAATAAATGGAGGTAAAAGATGCCTTAAAGTCAACTAATTTTTTAAAAAATAAATAGGGAAAGGTGTGTTAACCTTGAAAAATTAGGAGGGGGAGGAAATTTTTAAGGAAGGAAATTTATTTTAGAAAATTCAAGTTGAGGATTTATTTTTTAATTTTTAATCAATTAATTTTAAATTAAAAAAGATTAAATCGAAAAAAATTTTTTCCCTTTGATATTCCAATCAATTGGGAAAAGGAGATAAAATCAGAACAAAAAAGGCTGGAAAAATAAGTTGGGAAAATGTTGTTGCTATTAAAAGGGTATTTGTTATTATTAAAAAGGTTAAATGAAAAATAAACTTGGCAGACAGACAGAAAAAGTTTATTTAAAATCAGAATAAAATTTACAATTGTAAAAAAAGTTGGAAAAAAGGTTAGAAAAATAAGTTCTGAAAATATTCAAGTTTACAATCTTTTTATATTCTGAAAAGTTTATTTAATTAAAGTTTATTTAAAATCAGAATAGATAAATTACAAACTTATAAAAAGTTGGAAAAAAAGGTTGGAAAATAAATTCTGAAATATTCAAGTTTGCAAACTTTTCTTTTATTCTGATTTTGGTAAAATACAAAGAAACTTGAAATTCTGATGTTTGCTCTTTTCTGTATTTTTGCAAACTTAAATATTCTGAAAATTACATAATTGTAATTTTAAAATATATTCTGAAATTGCTTAATTAATTAGAATAAATAAAATTACAATTGTAAAAAAGGGTGAGAAAATTCTGAAAATAATTAAACACACTAAAAATAAGGATAATACAATTATAAAAATTCTGGAAAAAAATTCTGGTCTCTTTCAAGTTTATTTTTCGTCAGGATAAATGTTAGCTTTGTATTTTCCCTAGGTTTTTCTGTCCTTAAAAATATTTTTTCCCCTTTTTTTGAGCATGCCCTTTAATTTTACTAAATTATTTTAATAATCATAAAAATGTGTAATCGGCTGACTAAAAAGAAAAAAAATTGTTGTTGAATGGGAGGGGAATGGGAGGGGAATGAGAAAGAGTATATACCTACAAATAACAACAACAACATACACGGACGTCAAAAAATCTTTTTTCTCTTTCAAATATTCTCTCAATTTTCTGTCGCTTGTTAACAAATAGCAGAAAAAAAAATATTTTTAGAGAGACAGTATTTTTATTTTTAAATAAAAATGTGTTGTTATGGGCGGAGGTTTCTTCCTTTATTTTTTTTATTTTTTAACAATTGATGGGAAAACAATAAAATTAAAAAAAAATTTTAATTGAAAAATATGTTTAATAATAAAAAAAATAAATTTTAGAGGCTTAGAGTGCAGAAATAATAAAAAAATATTTTTCAAAAATTTTTTTGAGGGGCATATCACTAAATATTATAATTATTTAGTTTGTTTATTGAGTAACAAAACTGTTTATTTTTTTAAATGCCAAGAAAAACATATAGAAAATGACCAATTTCACCGGCTAATCCCCTTGCTAATATGCTTATTAATCAAAATTATTTTATATTTATTTTTGTTTAAAATCATCACATTTAGATACTATATACATACAAGATTAGAGAGAAATACAATTTTTATTTATGTATAACTGAAGTTTGCAAACTTGAATAATAAGTCTAAAACTTGATTCAAGTTTATAAACCTATCAGAATCAGAATTCGTTTGTAAACTTGAATAAATATTAATCAGAATCAAGTTTATAAACTTATCAAGTTTTAAGCTTAATTTTAATTTTATTCAAGTTTACAAACTTGATTCTGATTATAATAGGTTTATAAACTTAAATCTAGTTTTAAACTTATTATTCAAGTTTGCAAACTTGAATTAAGTTGAATTATTAATAAAAACAAGTTTATAAACTTAAATTAAGTTTTAAAGTAGAATCAAGTTTGTAAACTTGAATAAAACCTAAAATTAGCTTAAAACTTGTTTTAAGCCTATAAAACTTATAAACTTGATTCTAATTAATATTTAAACTTTATTCAAGTTTACAAACTTGATTCTGATTATAATAGGTTTATAAACTTAAATCTAGTTTTAAACTTATTATTCAAGTTTGCAAACTTGAATTAAGTTGAATTATTAATAAAAACAAGTTTATAAACTTAAATTAAGTTTTAAAGTAGAATCAAGTTTGTAAACTTGAATAAAACCTAAAATTAGCTTAAAACTTGTTTTAAGCCTATAAAACTTATAAACTTGATTCTAATTAATATTTAAACTTTATTCAAGTTTACAAACTTGATTCTGATTATAATAGGTTTATAAACTTAAATCTAGTTTTAAACTTATTATTCAAGTTTGCAAACTTGAATTAAGTTGAATTATTAATAAAAACAAGTTTATAAACTTAAATTAAGTTTTAAAGTAGAATCAAGTTTGTAAACTTGAATAAAACCTAAAATTAGCTTAAAACTTGTTTTAAGCCTATAAAACTTATAAACTTGATTCTAATTAATATTTAAACTTTATTCAAGTTTACAAACTTGATTCTGATTATAATAGGTTTATAAACTTAAATCTAGTTTTAAACTTATTATTCAAGTTTGCAAAGTTTTGAAATTTAATTCTAAAAATACAATTCTGTTACAAAACTGGAATTTCATTAAAAATTAATTTTATTAAAAATTTAACAAATTTTACCCATTTTCCATCTTCCCTCCCTTTATACCTCCCCTTCCCCCTATTTTTATTTATTTCCTTTTAATTTAATATTGGCGATGCTACTGATATTATCTTTTAAAAATATAAGTAATTTATTTTATCCTCTTTCTTCCCTAAAAATTTCCCTCCTTTTCATTATAATCGAGAATTGTGTTACAAGCAAATTTACGCGCTATTCGTCCTTCACAATTCCTCAAGTCATTCAAGTCAGTTTTATTTTCTTTTTTCCTCCTCTTCTTAATTTTCCTCCTAAAAACGTTCACGGACCTCGCCCCTCCCTTTATTTTTTCAATTCTTGCTTGTCAAGTAGAATGTAAATAATAGTTAGTAGTTGTTGTGCGGCCCTTCTCGCTCATTAATTAAATCAGAAAAAAAATACGGAATACTGAGGAAAATAGGATATACATTAAAATATTTAAATAAACCGAGGGGGGATAAATATTAGAAGAAAAAAGAAAAAGACAATAAGTGATTAAAAATAGTGAGAGAATAAGAGAGACTAAGTTTATTTTTTAATTCAAGTCTGCAAACTTGAATTCTAGGTTTAAAACTTGATTAAAGCTTATAAACTTGGATTATAAGTTTATAACTTAATTAAAGCTTGAAAACTTGAATTCGAATTTTAAAACTTGACTTAAGTTTATAAACCTGAATTCTAAGTTTATTTTTTTAATTCAAGTTTGCAAACTTGAATTATAAGTTTTAACTTAATTCAAGCTTGCAAACTTGTTTCAATTATTTAAAACTTGATTCAAGTTTATAAACTTGATTCTGATTAATAATTAAACTTGATTCAAGTTTGCAAACTTTTATTCTGATTCTGATTAATAATTAAACTTAATATTCAAGTTTGCAAACTTGATTATTATTCTGATAATATTCTAAATTCTTTTTTAATTCTGGTATTTATTCTGAAATATGGTTTTTTTCCTTTCCTCCTTGTTTATAAACTTGAAAATATTAAATCTCAAATAATTCTGAAAGAAAGTAAATAAACTGATCATATGGATTACTGAGGGAAAATATTAAAAATAAAAATAAAACTCTCTCCTATATTTATTGTTTATTACACAAAAATTTTATATCTGCGCGAGTTGTATAATAAACTTAACTTTTATTAATGTAGGGAATTGACTCATTAAAGAATTAAATTAATTAATTTAAAATATATTCTCACAAAAATTAAATGGGTAAATAACAAGGTTAAATTAATTTAAGAATTATTTTGAAAATTTTTAAGATTAACAGAATACATAAATGCTAAAATTTTAAGAAAAATTATAAAATTTTCGTTTATGAATTTTCCCAGAATAATAATTCAAGCTTGCTTACTTAAATAATGAGTTTTAAATATCAGAATTAAGTTTGTAGATTTAAATCAAGTTTAAATTCTGATTAAGATTCAAACCTAATTTAAGACTTTATTCAGATTCTGATAGGTTTATAAACTTAAATCAAGTTTTAAACAAGTTTGCAAACTTGAGGCAAGTTCTAAATAATAGAATAATAATTCAAGTTTGCAGTCAAATTGTAAAACTTGTTTACATATCAGTAATTTACTACAAGAATAAAGAAAGATTTACAACAAGTGGTTGTTTATTATCTTCAACTATAAAATTTTTTACCTCATAATTTTC